AATTGTTTGAGATAGTGCATCCACTAAAACATTTTATTTGTTTTCAAAAGAATTAAGTATGTCCAAATTTAAAAATTTGAAAAGAAGCATTGTAAATAGCTAAGAATAATTTAGAATTAAATATTAAATCTTGTACAAAGTGATTTCACAGCTACATTTCTGTTTAGGTTAAAATTAGAAGTGTCACAATATTTTCCATTTTGCCCCCCTTTTTTATTGTTTAAGACATAAGAAAAACAAGCTATGAACATAATTTGAAATAGAATGTGTAAATGTATATTCTGAAGTGCCATTTCCCTTGTGATATTAGATATATTTCAGAGATAAGCCTTCTATTCATCAAACAGTTTGGTTTTATTGTCACAACTCTCGGTTGTTTACTCTTCCATGCCACTGCCTTAATTTGTAATTTCTTAAGCATCTGGTCTGTTTATTAGTGGCAAAAAAGATTGATTTTTCTTTTGCTGCATGCTGAATTTGGACATTTTATGCAACCATACATACATATATAAATATTTGTTTTATATACTGATAAAATCAGTTAATTTGCTGTTGTATAACTCATTAGGAAGTTACTATAAGCTTAGAGCCTCTTTTTCTAAAACTGTGTTTGTCAGTCTAGCTATAGTTTATGAATGTACTTGTAGGGTATAGGAAAGTATTTAAGCCGCTACATTGTACTATTTAAATGCTTGTTTATAAAGTACTTAATAAAGAAATGATCTTGAAGTTAGGGGTATACAGGTGTTTTACTTTCTCTTCTAAGAAATACAATTGATTTAAAAAGTAAGCATCATAGCACACTTAATTAACTAGTCACCTAAAATGACTTGTCATAAACAATATAGGATATAATGTTTTAAGATATAAGAACTGTAAAAGCTAAAAACAGTAGTGAAATACAGTTTGTACATTTAACGGTTTATTATAATTATTATAGGATATGACACATCATTACTGTCAGATTTTATGAATTAATGTTTTGGGGGCAATTTTATCACTCGTATATAGGAAGTGTGGAATTTGAGATGTTCAGTTATTTTTGTTTTAATAGGAATGAATATTTAGAGTTCTTTTATATATGGGTTTTAATTTTTTAAATCTTAAATGTAGCTCTTTAGTCATTTTTTTGTTCAGGTAATATTAAGCAAATAAGGAGGAAATAAAAGCCAAGAAAAAAAAACTGTAGTTATACCAGAATTTTACACAAAACCATTACAGTCTATTTTTGTGTAGAGTATATGTACATTATGACAAACAAGAATGTTGATAAATCTACCCTGACTAGAAACTTGAACCACACACACACACACACAAACTCTTTATTCAAGGATTATCCAACATCACTACCTGGTAACCTTATGCTATTAATAAATACATATATACCAACCTGTGGATATCAGTCATACATACACCACACTAGGCTAACTGCTAAACCAAGCATGGACACAGATGGTTTGATTTATCACTTGCACAACTAAACAGACACTCAGAGGTGGGAAGTTCACTATTTGGGATGTCAACAGATCAGCCATTACCACTGAGTTGAATCTCACATCATTGATTTGGAGATACGCATTAATAGCTGGGATAATAGCTTCAAGTAATTTACAGAATTTTTTTTTGTCTTTAATTTCCTGTACAACATTTTTCAGTCAGAAGGCTTTTACCAAAGAGGTTTATTTATTGTTACATGTGTACCTCTGTATTATATAATTAAGAAATGTATACAGGTGTTTTTTTTTGAAAATGCCTAAAATAAAGGTCATTTGTATGGTAGACAGACAATGACAGAATGGTGCATTTTATAGAGTGGTGACAAAATGGCAGTTTTCTTAAATTAAAAACTAAAAATTTTAAATGTACCTTTAAATATCATGTATCTAAGAAAAATACTAAATGTGGCTTTTTAATTTTGTCATTTCATTTTGTTGTGAATTGAACTCAAATACAATCTGTAACTGTTGATGTAATTGTTTGAAGTTTTTGTTTTTTATAAATATTCAAAGATTTTTCATTATTTATTTCAACATACACAAAATAAATTGTTATTCAAGATAAATAAAACTTTGGTAAAGACAAGATTAATTACATTAGAAATATATCTACATCTGTATTTAAATTAGAATTTTTTAAAAACTTTTATTTTAAAACTTCATGTAACTCTTTGATCACTTGATCCTGCATAGCTGTAAATCATTCATATATTTATAATATAAAAGTTTGCTCACTGTAACGGAGAGAATCACTTGGAGGATAAAAAAAATGTTAGTTATATTTTAACTACTGTGACATGCTTCTTTATATCCTTCTGCTTTAGTTTTACCTATTTTACAGAATGGCCAATCTAATGTAAAGAAGCACAACTTTGTGTTCTTTTCAAAATTTTGAAAATAAAGAATCTTTCTAAAATTATAATTTTCCTTATTATAATCCTCAAAAATATCAGTTTCACGTTTAAAGGTCAGATATTGTGAGTAACTACCCATAATACATTTTTACTTACGCACTCATGATGCTCTAATAACTCCTTAAACTCGAGCGGACACTACCAGTGTCTAGCCAAAAATCCAGATTTACCCATTGGATGGTGACAGCATTCGATAACATTTATGTCTCTTTGGCTAAAAACTAATCCAAACCATGTTGTTATCCACCTTTTATAAACAGAGTGGAAATTTTATATGTTATGGACATCATGAACATAATCTGGCAGAACGTGCAAAAAAACTATGGGTTTAAAGAGTTAAGTTGATGTAATAGTGTAAAGTTTTGTATTGAAAGTATATAATCTAAAAAAATTTCCTAAGTATCAATTTTGTAAAATATTAGTCAAATGACATTACTTATTAGCAATTATAAACACATAAAATTCATTAGTCCCCAACTAGCTGTATAGTAAACTACAAAAAAAAATCAACTGGTTCATTATTTAGATTGCATCTGATTTGTCTGAAGCTTCATTGTATGTGTGTATTTTAACAACACTTTCCTAAAATTTGGCTCTGGTCAAATTGATATGTAAAAATGAAGCAATTTTATGTAATTAACAATTGAAACCCTCACTACTTGGTTAACACCCATTATTAGAGAACTAAGAAAAACAAAGACAACTGTATGTTTAACAAATATTTGTAAAATCTACAACTGTCTTTGTTTTCCTTGCACATGAATGTTCTTTAAATACT